TTAGTGGTCAGTGACTGGCTTTATGAAACCCCCAACATTGGTGGTCAGGGGCTAGATGTAGTAACCCTCCAACATTGGTGGTCAGTGGCTGACTGTATGAAGCCCCCCAATATCAGTGGTCAGTGGCTGACTATCGGAGCCACCAACATAATTGGTCAGTGGCTGGCTGCAAGAAATCCCCAAGATTGGTGGTAAGTGGCTTGCTGTATGACTCCGACCCACATTGATGGTCAGTAGCTGGCAGAATGAACCCCCAACATTGATGGTCAGTGGCTGGCTATTTGAACCCCCAAACATTGGTGGGCAGTGGATGTTTGTATGAACCCCCAACATAAGTGTTTAGTGGCTGACTGTATGCACCCCCAACATTAGTGGTCAGTGGCTGCCTGTATGAACCCCCTAACATTAGTGGTCAGTGGCTGATTGTATGAATTCCCCAAACATTAGTGATCATTGGCTGGCTGACCCCCCAACATTAGTTGTCATTGGTTAGTGGCTGTATGAACCTCCCTAATATTAGTGGTCAGTGGCTGGCTTTATTAAACCCCCAACATTAGTGGTCAGTGGCTAGCTGTATTAACCCCTTAACATTGGTGGTCAGTGGCTGGGTTTATTTTAAACCCCCAACATTAGTGGTCAGTGGCTGGCTGTATTAACCTCTCCAACATTAGTGGTCAGTGTCTGGCTGTATGAACTTCCCCAACATTAGTGGTCAGTGGCTGGCCATATAAACCTCTAACATTGAAGGGCAGTGGCTGACTGTATGATCCCCGAACATTGGTGGTCAGAGCCAGACTGTATGATCCCCTTAAATTATTGGTAAGTGTCTGGCTGTAAGAACCCCCTCAACATTGTTGGTCAGTGGCTGGCTACATTACCCTCCAACATTCGCTGTCAGTAGCTGGCTGTATGAACCCCTAACATTGGTGGTCAGTGGCTGGCTGTATGACCCACCCCAACATTAGTGGTCAGTGACTATATGAACCCCCGATATTAGTGGTCAGTGGCTGGCTGTATAACCCACAACATTAGTGGCATTAGTGGTCAGTGGCTGGCTGTATAAACTCCCCAACATTAATGATTAGTGGTGGAAGTATGAACCCCCTGCCAACATTGGTGGTCAGTGGCTGGCTATATGAACCCCACAACATTGGTTGGTCAGTGTCTGGATGTATTGCCACCCCCAACATTAATGGTCAGTGCCTGACTGTATAAAACCCCCAATATTAGTGATCAGTGACTGGATGTATTATCCCCCCCCAACATTGGTGGTCAGTGGCTGGCTAAATGAACCCCAACATTAGTGGTCAGTGGCTGGCTGTATGAAACCCCCAACATTGGTGGCCAGGGACTAGATGTACTACCCCTCCAACATTAGTGGTCAGTGGCTGACTGTATGAAGCCCCCAATATCAGTGGTCAGTGGCTGACTGTCTGAACCCCAAACATAATTGGTCAGTGGCTGGCTGCAAGAAACCCCCAAGATTGGTGATAAGTTGCTTGCTGTATGACTCCCCCCACATTGGTGGTCAGAAGCTGGCTGAATGAACCCCCAACATTGGTGGGCAGTGGCTATTTTTATGAACCCCCAACATAAGTGTTTAGTGGCTGACTGTATGAACCCCAAACATTAGTGGTCAGTAGCTGACTGTATGAATCCCCTAACATTAGTGGTCAGTGGCTGGTTGTATGAATTCCCCAAACGTTAGTGATCATTGGCTGGCTGACCCCCCAACAGTAGTTGTAACGTGGTTAGTGGCTGGATATATTAACTGACTCCATTAGTGGGTCAGTGGTTTGCTGTATTGAGCTAATCAACATTGGTGGTCAGTAACTAACTGTATGAACCCCCATCATTAGTGCTTAGTGGCTGGCTGTATAAACCCTGAAAATTGGTGGTCACTGGCTGGCTGTATAAACCCCCCCCCTCCAACATTGGTTTTGAGTGGCTGGCTGTATGAACCCCTGAAAATTGGTGGTCGCTGGCTGTATAAACCCCCTCAAACTTAGTGGTCATTGGCTGGCTGTATGAACCCCCCTTACATTGGTGGTCATTGACTAGCTGTATTAAACCCAACATTGACAGTCAGTGGCTGACTGTATTAACCCCCCAAAATTGTTGGTCAGTGCATGCCTGTATGAACCCCCAAACATTAATGACCAGTGGTTGACTGTATGATCCTGCAACATTGGTGGTTGGTGATTGGCTACGTATATGAAAGTGCCCAACATTGGTGGTCAGTGGGTGACTTTATCAAGCCCCTCCCAATATATGTGATTAGTGGCTGACCCACATATACAACTGACATATTTCTGCAGACATGCAAGGCAGCATCTCCTCCACCTCCTCGCACAGGTCCTCTAGTTATACGACCCTGAACACAGCTTTCTGTCCAACTGTATCCTACACCTACGCCTGCCGGTAGTCTCTATTCCTCTTCTTCCTAAAACCAGTCTACCCATCTCCTGTGCCCTCTGGAATGCTCGCTCTGTCTGCAACAAACTCACCTTTGTTCATGACCTCTTTGCCACTAACTCCTTTAATCTACTTGCTGTCACTGAAACCTGGCTTCATGAATCTGACACTGCTTCTCCCCTCCCACGGTGGTCTTCTCTGGACTCCCCAGACCCAGTGGATGTAAGGGAAGTGGAGTAAGGATCCTCCTATCCCCACAGAGCACCTTTCAGGTTCTTCACCCTCCTCCCTTTCTGTCCCTTTCATCGTTTGAAGCTCACTATGTACGCTTATTTTCTCCAATTTCTTTAAGAATTGCTGTCATCTACAGGCCCCCTATCAACCTTCCTAGATTACTTCTCTGCTTGGCTACCATAGTTTATCTCTTCTGAAATTATCAGCGACTTAAACATCCGTTCATCCCTGTTGATACTAACACTCCCGCTCAGGGGCAGACTGACCATTCCAGCAAGGGCCCCGGGGTCAGTAGGGGGCCCCATGAACTGCCCCTGGTACCTTTTATAGGTTTTTTGGGTGTGCTTTGAGTGTGGGCAAGGACACAGGGCCCCATGATCCCTTATTGTCCGGGGGCCCCATGAGTTGTCAGTCCGCCCCTGCTCCCGCTACTTCTAAACTTCTTAGTCTGTCCTCCTCATTTGACCTGAAGCAAGGGGAACATGCTTCTATTCACTCCGATGGCACCAACCTTGACCTTTTATTCTCCTACCTATGCACTCCATCCAAGCTCTCCAACAATCCTTTGCCTCTCTTTGATCCCTACCTTATTAGTTTCACTCTCTCCTTGTCTTCCACTACCTTTCCCCTCCAACCTTCTAACGATTACCCGTAGAGACCTTCGCCACATCAACCCTTCTTTTCTCCACTCTGCTACTGATCACCTCTATGACAATATCTCACCCCCTGTCCTGCCCCAATCTAGCCACTTCTGTCTACAATAGATGCCTGTCTTCTGCCCAGGATGAGCTCGATCTCTCACTACACACAGGACCAGGCCCCAACCCCTACAACCTTGGCAAACAGATGATACCAGAAGTCTCAAAAAACACAGCCGCGCACTTGAGTATCTGTGGCGTAAGACTAAGTCTCACAAAGACTTCAACCATTATAGCTCTTGCCTCCACACTGCCAAGCAGAGCTATTTCATCACTCACATTAACACCTTCTCATCCAGTCCTCGTCCACTCTTCTCTACCTTTAACTCTCTTCTTTGTCCTCCACTGCCTCCACCACCTAACTCACTCATTGCCCAGGAGATCGCCAATCACTTCAAAAGTAAGATCGATACAATTCCTAATGAAATCTCCACTCTACAGATAACTCCCCCACTCAACACCCATGTCCACGGGTACACTCAACAACCTTATTCAACCCTGCTACTACAGACGAGGTTGATAAGCTTCTTTCTAATGCCCACCTAACCACTTGTCCCTTGGACCCTATTCCCTCTAAAATACTGCGGTCACCCTCTGGCTCTATGCTACACTCTCTAACTCACATCTTCAATCTCTGGCACCTTCCCCAACACTCTAAAGCATTCACTAGTTACCACTGTACTTAAAAAGCCTTCCTTGGACCCCACCAATCTAAACAACCTACGCCCCATCTCATTGTTCCCGTTTTCCCTGCAACTCCTTGAATGCCTGGTCTATAACTAACTGAGCGACCACCTTAGGGGCATGAATGCCAACTTCATGATCCCCTTCAATCTGGGATTTGGGGCCCTGTGTCCACTGCCAAACAGAAACTGCTCTCCAAAAGGTACTCACAAATCATTTACTAACAGCAAAAAGCAATGGACACTATCCTCTACTCCTGAACCTCTTGACTGTCTTTGATAGGGTTTGACCACCCCCTCCTCAAAAAAAAAAAACTTTACTCCTTGGCCCTCATGGCAGTGCCTTCATTTTCCTCATGGTCAGTACCGCCCCTGGAGCCAACACCTTCAGTGTCACTTATAATAGCTATTTCCTCCTCCCTCTTCCTTTTTCCTTTGGGGTCCCCACAGGTAACTGTTCTTGGACCTTTCCAAAAACTCACAAATCTATTTACCTCCTCCTTGGGCCTATTCTGATACCTCTCACTTTCAATATCATACTACGCTGAAGACACCCAAATCTATCTCTCCACCCCCTCAGCTCACAACATCAGTCTCCCTCATGTATCACTAACTTACTGAACGACATATCAGTCTGGATGTCATCCACCACTTCCTCAAACTCAATCCATCCAAAACCAAACTCATAATATTTCTTCCCCCACGTGGCCCTTCCACTGACTTCTCTGTCATGACCAATGGCACAACCATCAACCTGTCCTACATGCTCAGGGTGCTAGGTGTAATCCTGGACTCTGAAGCCTCATCTTTATAATTTCTACAGCTCCACATCCAGTCACTTTCCAAAGCTTGCCAAACCCAAACCTATCTCTGCAACCCTCCTCACAAATACACCCCTTCTTATCACTATGACACCACAAAGCTCCTAATTCACTCCCTGGTCACACTCTTCCTCAGACTACCATCAAAACCCTCCTCATTGGCCTACCCCCACATAGGCCCTTCCCCCCTCCAATCCTCATGACCAATGGCCAATCCATCAACCTGTCCCGCATCAGTGCTAGCTACCCTGGACTCTGAACTCTCCTTTCAGCTCCACATCCAGTCACTTTCCAAAGCTTGCCACCTCTGCAACACCTCCAAAACTACACCCCCTTAACAGTGACTGCCACCCCTCCTAATTCAATCCCCCACTGGTCATCAGTGTCTCCACCCCGACTACTGCAACTCCCTCCTCATTGGCCTACCTTTACATGTCTGCCCCCCCCAATCCATCATGAATACTGCTGCCAGGTTCATCCATCTTACCACCGTTCAGTGTCTGCACCCCTCTCTGCCAATCCCTCCACTGGCCTCCATTCAGTGTCCTGCCACCCCTCTCTGTCCAATCCTCCACTGGCCTCCATTCAGTGTCTGACACCCCTCTGCCAATCCCTCCACTGGCCTGCATTCAGTGTCTGCCACCCCTCTCTGCCAATCTATCCACTGGCCTCCACTCAGTGTCCTCCACACCCTCTCTGCCAATCCCTCCACTGACCTCCACTCAGAGTCCTCCACCCCTCTCTGCCAATCCCTCCACTGACCTCCACTCAGAGTCCTCCACCCCTCTCTGCCAATCCTTCCACTGGCCTCCATTCAGTGTCCTTCACCCCTCTCTGCCAATCCCTCAATTCGTCTGCCACTCACCCAAGGAATTAAATTCAAAGTACTAACCTCAACTTACAAAGCAAGCCACAACTCGGCCCCCAGCTACATCACCAACCTGTCTCAAAATATCAGCCAAATCGCTTGCTTCGTTCCTCCCCAAGACCTTCGTTCCCTTGTCACCTCCTTCCATGCTCGCCTCCAGGACTTCTCCGGAGTCTCTCCCATCCTATGGAATTCCTTACCCCAATCTGTCTGACTAGCTCCTGCTCTGTCCACATTTAGGCAATCTCTGAAAACTCTTCAGAGAAGCCTCCTGCCTCCACCTAAAATCTGTACATGTATTTTCTCGTCGGCCCCACAGTTATTACCTTTTGTTTCACTTGACCCTCACCTTTTAGATTGTAAGCTCTAAGGAGCAGGGCCCTCTGATTCCTCCTGTATTCAATTGTATTTTAACTGTACTGTTTACCCTCACATTGTAAAGAGAAAATGTTGGCGCTATATAAATCCTATAAAATAATAATAATAAAAAAGAAAAGTTTGGTTTTGTTATTTTTATTGTGTAAGGACTGCACACAAAGATCATTTTTTAAAATAAAATCATGACAAAAATTTTTTTTTTCTGTCCTCAAAAAATATATACTGTAAGCATTAATTTTTTATTTTAGGTAACATTATTACTGAATAAACAGGTTGTAGCAGAAATATAAAAATTGTTCCATTGGGGGAGATGGAAAGTGGCTAAAAAAGAATTATAATGTGAGATGTAGCAATTGCAAGGAGAACAAATACAATGCTGCCAACCAGAGACGAGCACAATTGTAAAATTCATTTTGTTTCATTTCTGATTCATTCATTAAGTTTATCATTTTGTTTCATCAAATTTGTTATCTTAGAATGATTCATTTTTTTAATTTTGTTTCGTGAATTCAAATTCATTTCATACAGTATATTCATTGTTCCAAATTGGTTCCTATTTTCGGAGTTATTTTGGAAGATTCGCTACATTCGTTTTAATGTGTTGAGTTGTTGATTTCGGGTGAATACTTATGTACTCTGAGTCATCCCTGCTAGTCCAACCCACAAAGAGAAATGGAATGAGCTGATTGGATGATATTGACAGGAATGATGAAAGTAACGAATGGAACAAAATGAATTTAGAAATCATTTGTTATGTTATGATCTGGAGATTCTAATCGATCCGCCTCCATCCAACCCAAACACAATAAGTAGGGGCATGATCTTTTTTTTGACACCAATGATGGGGCACTTTTCCTTTCACTGCCCATATGGAAGAAAAATATATTTGAAAATGATTTTTAAAATATTGTTCCCCAAACATATTGACATATATGGGCAGCACAGTGGCTAAATGGTTAGCACTTCCACCTGGCAGTAGTAGGGTCGTTGGTTCAAATCCCAGCCACAGGACCACCTGCCTGGAGTTTGCATGTTCCTCCCTGTGCCCAATGCGTGGGTTTCCTCCAGGTACTCCAGTGTCCTCCCACACTCCAAAGACATGCTGGTAGGTTAATTGGCTCCTGTCTAAATTGGCCCTAGTATATGTATGTATGGATGTGAGTTAGGGGCCTTAGATTGTACGCCCCTTGAGGGTTAGGGACAGATGTGAATGTACAATATATATGTAAAGTGCTGTGTAAATTGACGGCGCTATATACACTAAGTACCCAAAATAAATAAAATATTTGAAACTGCTACAATTTTGGCCATATTAAATACATTTCAATATATATATATATATATATATATATATATATACTGACATATATATATATATATATACTGTATGTTGAAATGCATTTTTATTACAAAATATATGAAAAATATTTTTTTAAAAGTACATTTCAAATATACTGTATGCCTTTAAAAATACAAATCTACATTTTTGGAATGCATTTACAAATATATGTAAAAATATATGTTAAAATGACTTTTTTTATATGTTAAAAAAAATCTGAAGAATATATTTAAAAAATATATATTTTTAAAAATATATATTTTTTTTAAATATATTCTTCAGATTTTTTTTTCACATAGGACCAGCATCTGCTGGTAGTTCTCTTGCCATGTCCAGTTTATCATGCTCCACTTGCCTGGTCAGATGTGTCTGTGTAAAAGGTCCTCTTCCCCGGGGCATGCAGAGTTTCTGATGTAAAGATAAACTAAAGAGAGAGTTATAAAACTCGTTATAGTGCAGAGGGTTGTGATATATTAGGATACACATGAAGAAACAGAAAAAGGGCGCACAGACCTAGTGCATTATCATTTAAAATAATTTATTAAAGAAACAAAAATAGGTATCATACTCACAATGGACATAATAACACAGGCATGTCAAACTGAACAAGATGTATGATCCAAACAACATCTGAGTCCATACGATGGAACCCTGGATGACCAACTGGCTAACGCGTTTCGAGGACATAACCTCTTCCTCAGATATATACATTGTTCTAGTCTTTTCTATAAAACAAAATGATGTTCTCATAGGTGATGGCCTGCTTGGTGCGGGCAGTCACCACGATCCAGTCCCGATCTCTGTAGTTTGGCAAACGGTGGAGAAAGGGCTTCGGAGGAGCAACCGAAACAGGAGGTGTAGGAGGCACCCTGTGGGCCAGTTCCGCCACAAACATGGCTGGCATATTGGCAAGGTCAAAGAGGGACGTTAGCAGTTGTTCAGCAAACCCAGTTTGTTTCCCTCAGCCCGTTCCAGAAGGCCAAGGATGAGGATGTTGTTTCTTCTCAGTCGGTTTTCCATGTCAACCTCCTTCTCCTGTAAAGCTTTGACTTGGAGCTGGAGGGCCTGGAGATCTTTGGAGTTTGCCTGGACCATGCACTCCACTTCAGAAATGCGTCTCATCCAACCTCCGAAACCCTGGGGCAGAATTTGTCCAGGTCAAGCCGAAGCAAGGTAATGTACATTGCCAGGAAATCTATCTTGGCTGTTAAGGTCTCTTTGTAGGCCGTAATTGCCGCCAGGAGGTCCACACTGGAAGGGGTCCCATCAACGCCAGCATCTAGGGAGGTCTGCTTGCCCACAGACATGGTTGCTGTGACTGTGTGGTCAAGATGGCTGTGGAAGAAGGGCGGGGAGTGCCTGATTGGGATCGGGTAGTGCGCGGCTTGCTGGATGCCATTGGCGAACCTTATTAGAGTGTTGTACTAGGGTTCCCGATCCAAAAGAAGAAGAATCCAAGCTCGATAAAAGGTGTTGGAGACAATACAGGATCAGAGCTCCAGCGCCGTGCGTCCAGTCGGGCTCACATCCCACACACGCTGCCCCGCCCATAAAACAAAATTATTTCTATACGCAAAAAATGGTTCTCACCTTTCCCCTTTATTGTATAATATTGTATATGCTGTGCGCATGTGTATACCATCGAATATATCGCATGAATGCAAAAAACACGTGTATAATGTTTTTTATATTGTGTGCACATGTGTAACAGTAATAGCGAAAAAAATGGGTACGCTGTCTCTTTAAATACCAAAAAATATCAAATTATTCATGAATAAATAAAAAAAACAATTCATGCTTAATCCCAATTCATAACTAAATAACAAAAAATAAATGCACTGTCTCTTAAAATATCAATACAAAATGTGGTTAATTAAAATGCATATGCACATTATTTAATTTACATGGGGTGTATGGAATCACATATTTATATATATATATATATATATATATATATATATGTGTATATATATATATATATATATATATATATATATATATGTGATTCCATACACCCCATGTAAATTAAATAATGTGCATATGCACAAAAAAAAAATATATAATATACATATATATATATTTTATGGATTCATAATAATTATTTATGAATTGTAAGCATTGATTTTTATGTTGATATTTTTACCATATTTTATTCAATATTTACAGAGACAGTGCATTTATTTGTTATGATGTGTGTTTATTATTTAGTATATTATTTGTGTTTATTATTAAATGGGTGAAATAGTGACACTTCTTACCAGGTTCCCTCCTTCAGTGGGGAGGGAAGGTGGTGGGAAGAGGGATTATGCAGCAGCTATATAAATACAGAGGGGAGGCTGGGAACATTTCAGAAGCTGCAGTCAGGACTCTGTACAGGTAAGAACCTTCCTATGTACACTGGGGGGCTGCTTAGGGTGGGGGGCTGCTTAAGGTGGGGGGCTGCTTAGGGTGGGGGGCTGCTTAAGGTGGGGGGCTGCTTAAGGTGGGGGGCTACTTAGGGTGGAGGGCTTCTTAGGGTGGGGGGCTGCTTAGGGTGTGATGCATTCATAGGAACATAAATTCTTTCTTAAAGTAACAGGCAAATGAAAGTGTATCCGTGGCAATATTCTTTTTTCTTTCACAAATATTTTATTATTCTCTGAGATTTTTAATACAAAGTAAAGCGCACATTCATTTTACATTGTATACACTATATTGCCCCAAGTATTGGGCCGCCGGCCTTTCCACACACATGACCTTTAATGGCCCCCCAGTCTTAGTCCGTAGGGTTCAATATTGAGTTGGCCCCGCCCTTTCCACACATGACCTTTAATGGCCTCCCAGTCTTAGCCCGTAGGGTTCAATATTGAGTTGGCCCCGCCCTTTCCACACATGACCTTTAATGGCCTCCCAGTCTTAGCCCGTAGGGTTCAATATTGAGTTGGCCCCGCCCTTTCCACACATGACCTTTAATGGCCTCCCAGTCTTAGCCCGTAGGGTTCAATATTGAGTTGGCCCCGCCCTTTCCACACATGACCTTTAATGGCTCCCCCCCAGTCTTAGTCCGTAGGGTTCAATATTGAGTTGGCCCCGCCCTTTGCAGCTATAACAGCTTCAACTCTTCTGGGAAGGCCGTCCACAAGGTTTAGGAGGGTGTCTATGGGAAGGTTGGACCATTCTTCCAGAAGCACATTTGTCAGGTCAGGCACTGATGTCGGGGGAGGAGGCCTGGCTCACAGTCTCCGCTCTAATTCATCCCAGAGGTGTTCTATGG